TTGGAGTCAGCTGGCCAGACTGGAGCAGCAGAGGCTGGCCAGCTTCTCCAGGTGTCCTGCATGGGCAGCAGGGCTTCCTCACAGCACAGCACTGGGCCCCAGGAGTGAGTGTCCAGGCACAGGCTGAATCTGCAGGTATCCCAGTCCAGCTCAGAGCCACCAGGCTCGATGGGAGAGACAGAATCCACCTCTTGGGGCAGAGGGTGAATGTGGGGCCAGGTTTTAAAATAGCCGAAGCATCCTATGCAGAGGGCCCTCCCCTCCCCTCTGCCCACCTTGCCTGAGATGGGCACAACAAGGTAGCCCATCAGGGCTGGGACAGCATGGGACAAGTGTCCCCACTTCATCCTGAAGCTGCACTAGTCCCCCAGGTAGAGACATGRGGAGAAGCAGGGATGAGGGCTCCTATGACCCAAGAGGCTCCTGATCCTTCAGCTGACACCCTCCACCAGGACAAAAGAAGCTTGGGATATGAACCCCATCCAACAGGGAGCCCCGCCCACCACACCACCTGGGGATGCTGGGATGGGCAGGTGTGCAGAGCTGCGCGCAGAAACTCCGTAGACTCACCCTGCATCCACTGAGTCCTGAGGACAGGTATGTGTGTGCGTGTGCATGGATAACAGACCACACACAGCTCCGGGTCTGCAGTGGGCACGTGTGTGCGTGCAACGTGTGGGGTGCACATGCACACAGCGGTGTGGGTGACTGAGCAGGCAGGAGTACGGCCTGTGCACACGTATGTGTGTGTGTGTGTGTGTGTGTGTGTGTGTGTGTGTATTGCTGTGAATGTGCTCCACAGCACAGAGAGGAAGGAGCCAGACATGGAGAGCTGTTTGCTTGTCTGTCCAGTAGGAGGCCAGGCACAGGGAGTCCCTGGAGAGGTGGAGCTCAGGGCTGTCCATGGCAGGTGCGGTTGCTACGTGGTGGGAACTAGGAGGCTGTGGCACGAAGCCCTTCCTGACTGCTGTGGCACTTTCCCCAAGGCGCGGCAGCGTGGCCGTTGGCTTCAAGGCTGCCGGAGGGGAACAGGAAGAGAAAGCAGCTGGACTCAGCCTGGGCCTGCGGATGGCCCAGCTCACGGGGGCACAGGATGAGGCCGGGGAAGGGCTGGCCCATGGGTTTCCATCCTCCTCCAAAGCCTAGCTCCCACCCCCTCAGGACTCCGGGACCCCTGGGGGCTGGGTGGGTGTTGACGGGATTCTCAGCCTCCCTCTGTGGCTCCTTTAAGCTGGGCGGTTCCTGCACTGGTCTGTGACCCTCCTCGCCCCCTGCCTCCACACTAGCTTCTCTGAATGGCAGGAGCATCTTTTGTATTCCAAAGGCCAAAGGGCCAAGCTTGCCTTTGATTAAAATCCTCGTCCTTTAATTAAAGACCGTGCAACACATGAAGGGTGTCCGCTGAAATACGAGACGGCGACATAGTCATTACCCTGCTGCTAATTACTAATTAATGAAGCTATTTCAATTAATAGCTTCCCCACCGCAGCTCCCCCTTGGACAGGCCCCGTGCTGGGCGCGTCCTGCATCACAGAGAACTGGCCCTGCGCCAGCCTCCAAGGCTGAATATTCATGCCTCAGCTTCAGGCTTTCAATTAAACATAATAAAGTAAATACCCATCAAAAGCGCACATCCGGCTCACAGGCCCCGGCTCCTCCCTCCCCTGCCTGGCAGGAACCGGGAGGGGGAGGGACCACCAGCTGGTCACTGTCCATGGCACACAGTGGACAGAGTGTGGCTGGGGACTGGGAGGCCCCACTCAGGACATTGTCCAGGTCAGAGTGGCCCCACCCAGGGACAAATGTTCTGGAGTCCCCAAGGGAGCAATAGGAACCTCAGGGCACTGCTGTCCTACAGATAAAAGACAATGACCCCTAACTGGGGGGGCAGCCCAAGAGGTGGGAGGGACATTAACATACGAATTAGGAATATTAAGTGGCTATTAAAGAGCCTGTTTTAAAGAAAGACAGAAAAATGTCACTTATAGTGATTAGGAGGGGACAACCCTCTACCTGAGCTGGAGATTCAGGGCAGGGCTGCTTAGCACCTGGGGACAGTATGGGCGGGTGGCCTGGAGCCAGGCCCAGCCTTGGTTCTAGAACGGTATGCAAGTGAAAGATGGGAGACGGGAGACTCCCACAGGCCGGAGAAGACACTGGGATGTCCAGGATGGGCCTAGGGCCACAGCAGGACCACAGGCCACATGGGACTGTCCTCCCTGGAACACTGCGATGGTGCTCCTGCAGTGTGCAGAGGCCGGGCCACAGACCAGGAGCAGAGGGCGGTGCTCAGCCGGACCGTACCCCTGGGGCATCTGCCTCCCTCTCCTTGGGGGATCAGAGCCGKCTTAGAGGAAGGCCTGTCCCCTCAGGGCATGGGTGGGTGGCCACACACCTCAACACTGCAGTCTCAGTGGCCCCACAGTGCCAGGTGGGGACAGCCCTCCACCAGCCACTGAGCCCTAGGTCCCACCATCACCCTGCCCTGTGGCTTTGATGGGGATGACCAGGGAGTGAACACCCTAGGCCAGGGCACATGCCCAGCTTGGCGGGGAGGAAGATGGACTGGGGCTTGGGCTGCAATAATATCATGCCACCAGGTCTGGGGGACCCATACCCCCCCATCACTAGCCCCCTGAGAGGGTCCAGGCTCCCATCAGCCCGCTTCCAGTATCCTTCTCCTCGCCCAGCGGTGAAGTGGACGTCACTCTCCCCTGTCATCGCACACAGTTCCCTCTGCCCACCCCCTTCTATGCACCCACTGGGCACTCTGTCTGCGGAGGCCAGGTGGGGTCAGCCACACTGGAGCCCAGAGGACAGCACGTCCTGTCCAACAGCACCCTCTGTCAGCCAGAGGGGGAACAACAACAGCTGTGCGGAGGCCGGGGCCACACCTGCTCACACAATCCCTAAGAGCGGGTGCCCTGGCAGGTTCCATCAGGCCCCAACCAGAGCCCCTGGATGGCCAGTCACCCTGGCGGCCCAGGAAGCTGCCTCAGACTCTAAGACTCACTCCTAGAAACTGGAGCTCTAGGCGGCCAGTGTCAGCCCGGGGATGGAGGACTGGCCTCCACAGTCCCTCACTGACAGCAGGATCGAGGCTGCCTGTGTAGTGCAGGGCTGGGAGGGCCTCCAGACCCGGCCCCCTGTGCTGGTCTCACTCAGAACTCTGCCTGCGAGGTCCCACCACCTCGTACCCCATGGCCCTTTTTGCCTAACCTCCTCCTCAAATGGCTACCTCAGGGCCTGGACCCTCCGCTCAGATCTCTCCATGCACGMTCCTTCTCATCCTGAGAGGCCACCCTGCCCACCCAGTCCCAGACCCCTCTGTCTGGCCCTCCTAGGGATGACCATGGGACCTCCAAACTCCAGCAGCTGCTTTCAGGGCCTGGGACTGGCCCGCAGGGGCAGGGTCATGACCTGTTTCACCAGGACGCCCACTGGCTGTATGGGGTGGGGGGCCCACTGACAGCAGACCTGGTTTCACCAGGGCTCACAGTCGGGTGGAGGGGCCTCCCCAAACCTGCTGGGGCAGCCTGCCAGATAGCAGACATGTGGATCTCCCTGCGGAGTGGGGAGAGCTGCTCTGTTGGCCACCTGTGCCCTTCCTCCCAGCAGACATCTGCCCAGGGTCCCACGTCACCTTGGGAAGCAGGACGCAGGCCTGGTGAGGGTCCAGGAAAACAGTATGGGGCAGTTGGACACTCGCCTGTGTCTTCTCCCGGCCTCCCCAGAGGTCGGGCCCCAAAGCTCCATGAGACCCAGAAATCATCTCTGGGGTCTCAGCCCCTGAGGGTCACCAGCAGGGCCCACCCACACAGGGCAGCCTGCCTATGCTTCAGCAGCTCAAGGCACTGAGACCCGGGGGACTCAGAGCCCCATGAGAAGGACACCTCCCTCCCACCGATTCCACAGTCAGCTGTGGACACAAAGTGGGGCACTACTTCTCACCACACTCACTGCCCAGCATCCACCCAGCCCAGAGGCAGGAGCAGCCCCGGGTCCATCAGTGGGGGGGGGGGGGGGAGGGACAAAGTGGCGCCTCCAGATTCTGGCCTGCTGCAGCATGAAGCAAGCCTGCCCCTCCCCTGGACTCACCCTGATGAGGTGGTCAGAGAGACCCACTGGACAGACTGGCAGGAGTCGCCACCAGCCCGACAGGAGTGGAATGGGCAGGAGTGGACCGGGGCCAGGGCCCGCAGCCTGGGAGTAATGTTTAGCAGGGACCGAGCTTGTTTTGTGAGATGACAGGGTTCTGTGGATGGGTGGCGTGATGGTCACACAGCAACGGGAATGTGCTTGACACCACAGAACTGTGGCTGAGGTTGAGGCGGGTGGCTGACGAGCGGCCATGTGGCCCCAGGAGAGGGGGAGCGAGGGACTGGTCAGTGGAGGCTCTGCTCTGAAGTCCGCAGGTGAGGGGTTTCTTGGCTTGGCTCCCAGCCTCAGGACCCATGCCACGGAGACTTCCAGAAGCCCCGCCTGAGGTTCACAGGAACCTCCAGCAGAGCCCACCCCACGCCACCTTGCAAGTCATTGGCCCACTTCAAGAAGGCCGCCCTGTTTCACATCAAGAATCTCCCTAGAGATTCTCTTGATCAGACTGGGAGACCACGGGAAGGTGTCTCTGTGTCCTTTCCTAGCACACCTCTGATTCCAGGCCACCTGGCTCTAGAAAGCTGTGTATACCACCCCGGCAGGTCCCCAGTTCTGCAGAGGAGAACCAGCTGAAGCAGGGCCGGGCTCTGGTGCTCACATGGATTCCAGTGCTCCTGACCGGGCAGCCTCCGTCTGGGGACTCTGCCCGGAGCTGGGCCAGACTCCTCACTGGTCTCCTCGTGAATGGGTCATACAACATCTTATCACGTGCTCATTAGTCAAAAGAGAGGTGTTAAATCAAGCAGAAACCCTCTTTTTAGATCGTTTAACAGTCCTTTAAATAAGGCTTGGTGTGGTTTTGCACATTTCTGTGGCTTCTTTTCTTACAGAATCCACTCCTGATTCATGAGAACTCCAGCTCCTCCTGCTGACAGGGAGGTAGAAAGACAAGGAGGTATCCCCGCAGGGCCTGAGGGGCACACAGGTGCCTACACAGGAGACATCCGTCCTACCRAAATCCACAGGATCAGGGAACTGGGGCCCTGGGGCTCTCAGAGGTGGGCCAGGCCTCTCTAGCACGCTGCCCATCCAGCCCTCTGGGGTGACAGCGGGCTGCTGGGAGAAGCAGAAACATGGAGAGGGGCTCCCTGGAACATGGGGTGCTCTGTAGACACTGCTGATTGTCCTGCCTGGAGGGGAGGGGGCAGGAGGGTGCTCTGGCACGGAGCAGGTCCTCCTGAATATGTCACAGTCCACAGCTCCACCTGAGAGTGGCTGTCAGAGAATGAGGCTAGGCGGACGGAGGTGGAGCGCCTGTGGCCCAGCATCAGGGCGCCAGCCAGAAGAGCCGTGTCCCCCAGACAAGCCAGCCACAGGCAGTGATCACACTAACCCTGTGAGGAGGGCAGGGTCATGCCCACAGGCAGGCAGGGAAACAGGCTCAGAGAGGTGAGCCCRGTTCTGGCCAGGCCCGTGGGGTGCCTGAGCCCCTCCCCAGCTTCTCTGCTTCCTCCTGGGTGCCCTGCTGTGGTCTTCCTCCTCGGCTCCTAGCACTGAGGATGAGGTCCACTTGTCCCCGAAAACTGCCAGCATCCAGGTGGGACTGTGGAGTTGGGGAGCTAGAGGTCCTCATGGGCAGGGCTCAAGTCCACCCTCTGGGCCTGTCCAAACACCAGGAAGGTGCCCAGCCCCAAGTTGCTGATGACTGCTACCAGGTTGAACACACAAGTCCAGGAGCCTGTGGCCTCGATCAGATAGCCGCCCAGGCACACGCCCACCACACCTAGACCCCAGAGAGGCACAGTCAGGCRGAGCGCCAGGCAGAGTGGGCAGGGCCTGGCACACAGCCACCCCGGCTCCCGGGGGATCTGGGGGCACAGCCTTCCAGGCTAAGAATCCAAGGTCTTGGGGGGTAGGAACCCCACAGACCACCAACAATCACCCCGATGGGCCCCCTGCCCCCGTCCCTCCAAGGGGACACAGAGCAAAGGACAAGTGGCAGGAAGCGCTGCCTGGAGAGGGACCAGGAGGTATCAAGGGCCCTGACCTGCCAGGCTGGATGCCTACCTGGGGGCAGGTGGGCAGGGCAGGGGCCTGTGAGCTGCCCACCATCAGCAGAGCTAAATGGACACTTCCAAAGCAGCCCTGTGCTTTGCTCGGGCCAGTTTGAGGCTCCTGCCCTCCCGTGATGTGGGAGCAGGAAGCCAGCCGGCTGCTGGGCTTGCTTCCTAGTGGGCTCTAGTCCAGAGGGCAGGAGGACCTCTGGGTGTAGATGCCCACCCCTCACCTGCCAAGGCTCCTGCAGTGTTGGCCACACCTGGGAACAGGCCAGAGAAAAGACATCAGAGAATAGCCACATGGCTGCCCGCCTGCCTGGGAGTGGCTCTCTGGCCAGGAGACAGGTGGAGCGAAGCTGGACTCAGCAAAGTCCTCACCAAACAGAAATCCAGCACAGGATGGGGCCAGGTCCTGGATGTTAACAGAGATGCCACTGTGGGAAGCAGGAGGGCAGGTGGGTGAGCGGCCTCCCCATGGGGCACTGGCCTCACACTCAACCTGCGAGCCACCTGAGACAGGCTGCACARAGGCACCCCATCTGCTGTCCACTCATCTGAAGGACACTGATGGTGGGTGAGGTCAGAGGCAGCCATGTTTAGATGCCACCCCAGCAGACTGAGAGTATGTCCAGGGCACCCAGGCCGTTGCTGCTGGCCCTCTCCCTCCCTCAGGGCCTTGGTCCCCACTGTCTGGATACACAGATCTGCTAGTCCACGAGACCACTCATGAGCCAGGACACAAGGCTTGGGCTGCCCCCAACAGCACTAGCCACTGGTGCACGGGCAGCAGTCCCTTATGTCAGGAGCCACTCTGGACAGAAGCTATGTGCACACCTTTAAGTCCTGAGTAAAGGGGTGCTGAACAGTTATTGCACCCCACAATACATTGGGCTTTACTCCAGCTCGGATAAGGAAGGTGTGGCTCCAGGGGTGGGCGTCACCCGGTGGGGTTGAATTACACCCACCTGTTCCTTTGGAATCCTACCCCTTTGCCCTCTTTGGGATACAATGTTCCACGGAACCTCCCCTTGTGGGTCCCCTATATAAGAATAAGGAATTCCAGTGGCTCTCTCTCTTTCCACAGACCCCTAAGGTCACCAAGCCATCCCTGGATTGTGAAAAGGTACTTCTGTGAGTTGGCGTGCTTTCTTTGCCGTTTTTTAAGTTATTGGAAAAGTCAGATTTGGGGACATAGGTCGCCAGCTCGGAGAGATGGCCATTCCCTTACCTGTGGTTGAAGGTCTGGAGGCCAATGGAGGCAGACGCAAAGACCACAGCCTTCAGGAAGCTCGAGGTGTGACCCAGACACAGTGCGAAAACGCTGGACAGGCCGAGGCCCATCACCTGCAGGTGGTGTGGGTGAGGGCATCGGGGCAGCACAGCCCACCCGTGGCCGTCCTGTGCCACCAGCCCTGCTCCTGCAGGTGGTGTGGGTGAGGGCATCGGGGCAGCACAGCCCACCCGCGGCCGTCCTGTGCCACCAGCCGGGCTCCTGCACTGCCCAGGCACCCGGCTGAATTCCCACCCTGTAATCCTGCTGGCCTTTGAAGCAGGAAGCCTGAAGGCCAGGAGGCCCTCGACAGGGGGCTGAGACTGGCCAGGTCTCAGAGCTGCCAGAGGACCCAGACCTCCTCTCCTTCAGATGATGGAAACATGGGACCCGCCCTCCTGAGCCCCTGCCCCTCATCTCTTCAATCCAGGTKCGACATGGACCTGAGGGCTTATTCCCACTCTACCTTGGCCAAGAATAAAGTCTTGACCACTCCCCCCTGGCTCTGTCTTGGTGCTGTTGGTCCCACAATCCCAGGAGGGACAAAGGACCCAGGCTTTAGGGTCAAAAACTGGTCACACAGCCACCCAAGTGCCCTGAACCTGGCCTGCCTGACCCCAAAAAAACCCTGCAGGGTTGGGCTCTCCACCCAGAGAACATCTGGAAGGGGCCCTCCACGGGTCAGCTGGCCTACTGGTGGACTAGAGGCCACAAGCCTCACCTAGGTGCCCAGACCCCACAGGCACAGAGAGCCCCATTCAGAGACCAGAGAAGAGTCTCAGGTCAGTCCCCAACACTGACCCCAGAGTGCCCTCCATCTAAACCAGCTGATTCTGGGTCCTGTCACCTCTGTCCACACTCTTGTGGCCACAAAGGCCCTAAATGCCTTCCCTGCAGCAGTTGCAGCTGGCCCAGCCCATGACCTGGACGTTTTTATGGTCCCAGAATTCGGGCAATTGGGGGTCATAACCCTCAGGTCCCAGAAGAACTAAGCAGTGATGTCCAGGGAGAACATTAGAAAGGTCTTCCTACCTGCATCGACTTGCGCACCGTGATGGTCCCGTAACCTGAGCGAGGAGACAGGCAGGCGGCCCCATTAGCCTTGGGCAACCCAGAGGACAGTGGAGAGGGGGATGGCAGCCAGGGTGGCCCTTGGGGCTGCAGGCTGGTCATTGCCAGCACGGTACGTGCACACCAGAGGATCCCACAAGGCCCAGGAGGGCCACGTGGGCAGCTGTGAAGGTGTCCCCGAAACTCTCCCTGTCCCCTCAGTCACCCACACAGTGTGCACCACCTTGTACTGAGGGAAAACACTGACGTTCTGAGAGTGAGCATGCACGAGCATGGGCACCTACGAGYGTGCTGCTGGGCTTCATGTGTGGCCAGTGTGTGGTGGACTCCAGCTGGCCCCAGAGCCCCCACCCCCAGCTCTGGAAGTTGCAAGAGGAAAACTTGTGGCCTCTGACCCCAACGGCACCTCCCCCCCAGGGTCAGGACTGTCAGGCCCGGGGCAGAGCCCACAGGTGCTGTGCACAAAGGCCCTCTCGGGCCTCCCGCTTCTCCCCAGCTGCAGCCTTCATGGGGATTCTGGGGAAACCAGCTGCCCCAGGCTCCTCCAGCCCCCAGCTGCACCCATTCCCTGGCTGGCTCTGGAGGCCAGGGTCCCTCTCTATCACAGGTGGTCCTCAGCGGGCCTGGCCTCTCCCTAGCACTGCAGCTGCACCCCCAGAGGGGAGCCTCTCACCCTGCTGAGGCCCCTGAGGGTGTGTCTCCTGAAGGCCTGTCCCTCCCCAGGACTCACCCTGACTGATGAGGTGGTCAGAGAGAAACCCACTGAACAGACTGGCAGGAATCGCCACCAACCAGGGCACCACGTTGAAGACCCAGCCCTGCAGGGAGGAGCTTGGCCTGAGCGGTGGCCAAGTGGCAGCCAGACGTTGAAAGGAGGAGGGGCAGGCAGGATGGCTGCCCCAGGCCGCTGCTGCCCAGGAGAGCTCTGCCCACCCCACAGCCTGGGCCCCAGAGCAGAGGGGCCTGAAGGAGGGCAGCTTCTACCAGCATGCCCACCAGTCCCATGGCACCCCAGGAGTGCCAGGCCCACAGTGGCTCACCACGCAGCCAGGTCCCCAGGTTGCTCATTACCCAGCCCCTACCCTTGGAATGGGCAGCCCAGGGCATCATGGTCACCAGAACAGGGGGGTGGTCAACAGCCTCAGTRGAGAAGCCAGCAGATACAGGGGGTCAGGTCCCCATCCCGCCCTGCTCAGGTTTCCCTCCAGAATGGCATCAACAGACCAACAGATGGCCTTGCCCTGAGGGTGGGGTCTGCTAAGCAGCAGATCAAGGTCATGGGCTTGGAAAGCTGCCACTGCCACAGGGACCAGCCCTCAGGGTCTTGGAGCCAGCACCTGCCCCTCCTATGGCCAAAGTCAGCCTCTGCCTCAAGCCACAGGATGCCGAGGGGCCCACCCGCTGTGCAGGGGCAGGGCCGCAGCTGTGTGAGCACTGGCAGGGTGACCCACCTTGGAATGGGGGAAGGTCTCCTTGAAGAAGGTGGGCAGCCAGGAGAGGAGGATGAAGAAGGAGCAGGCTGAGGAGAGCTGGGAGCAGACCGCCGCCCTGGGTGGGACACAGGCTCAGGGCTCCAGCCTGCCCCAGCCCCTTCCCACCCAGGCAGGGCCTGTGAGACCCACACCCCTGCCCCTGGGCGCCCTTCCAGGCACAGCCTGGCCCACACAACGAGGGTCGTTGCCCCACTCTGCCTGGCCACGCCAGCCCCAGCTCACCAGACAGAAGGCTTCCTGAAGAGCTGTCTCCAGGGCACTTTGGAGGGCCTGGCCACGGGCAGGCCTTGTGCCAGGACCCCCAGGGCCAGGATGAGGTCTGAGGGAAGAAGTGGTGGCACAGCAGTGGCCCCCAGGACTGGGCCAACCCACATCCATCCCTAGAGGCAGCGACGGTGTGGTCCCAGAGGCCAACAGACCTGTCACCCTCCCCCAGGAGGCTCGTCCTCAGCAGCTCAGTGTGCAGCCAGAGCCCTGGGGCCAGCTGAAGCCGCCCTGCTCCAGCCCCCTGCCTTTGCCTGCAGGGCTCCTCCTCTGCCCTACCCTAAATAGAGCTTGGGGACCGAACTGGTGGCCCTAGGGGGCTGAGAACTCATTCTTTCTCGGGCTCCAGGAGTCTGCATGTCCCCCCCCCCAGCAGCTGTGAGCGGAGGAGGCCCTGGCACCCGCCCAGGTGGCCACGGTACCTTTCTCGTTCAGCAGGTACCTGTACACGTAACACACCCAAAGCAAGGTGAGGCCACCGGAGAAGTAGAAGACGCTCTGCCAGCCGCACCAGTCCAGGAGCAGGGATCCCACGACCCCAGTCACCAGCGTCCTGGGGGGACAGGGAGGAGCACGGCCATGACCTCGGCTGGGCTCCACAGACAGACACCAGAGAACATTCCCGATGCCACCTGAGCCCCTGGAAGAGTGGGCTTTGTCACCTGGAGAACAGGTGCTTGGAGCCCGGCCCCAGAGTGCTCTGCTAAGGGTGCCGAGTGTTGGAAGAGACTATGCCACAGGGCAAGGGACGTTGGGAACCAGCCATGGGGACAGGGCACAGAGACCACTGGGACCTGAGCTGTTTTAATTTCTTGCTTCTAGGCCTTCCAACTGGCCTACACTAAAAAGGGCTGTGGGAGGAGAGCGGGCTCGGGGCAGCTGGAGCGAAGCCTGTGCCCTGCTCCTTCTTCATCGCCCAGCAGAGCACACGGTGTTGGGAGGAGCTCTAATGACAGACCCCGCCTCCTCCTCCTGAGGGTCCTGTGGTCCCAGGCAAGCCCAGGCCTCCCTTGTCCACCCCTCGTGCCCTGAAGTACTCCCCACCGAGGCAGCATCAGGGACGGTTCCTGCTGCATGTGGGGTTTCTTGCAAGCTGAGGCCCAGCTGCCTCCTCCCTGAGCCCACCACCTCCCCATCTGTGCCTGCAGAGGGGGCAGCACCTCACCTGGGGACCACAGCACTCCCCTGCCCCCGCGGTTTCACACAGAGCCCTCTGCTCCACCCTCCACTGCTCCAGAAGCCACCAAAGCCCCTCCAGGTGACTTCCAAGTGCAGGCCAGCCAGGGGCTTATCTGACACTTAGACCTCACTGGGTTCTCTGTCCCTCCACAGGACCCCTGCTCTCTGATTCCTGTCCCCGAATTCAGCGGCTGAGGGCCTGAGCCCCACACCCACAAGCCTCTGTCCACCCTCTTCGAGTAGCCCTTCTCCAGGACAAGGCTCTGGAGATGCCTGAGGGTGGGCGAGGCAGGAACATCTGAGGGCCCGGGTCTCAGGGGCTGCGCCCACGCCCACAGACTCACCTGGGGACTGGCAACAAAGGGCAGGACACCCCTGGTCCACGRCACCCAGGACAGGGACCTGCCCAGCMCAMAGCCACAGGCCCAGCCCACGGCCAGAGCCATAGCCCACATCACTGTGAGCCACAGAGATGCCCACACAGGCCTGGGGAGCTGCAGCCAGTGCCACAGAGCCACCTCCAGGCAGCACAGCCTTCAAGGCCCCCCAGCCCGCCACCCATSGCCGAGCCCCTGTTGGAGCTAGGCCCTACCCAAACTGGGAGCCGGCCCCCACAGTGCTGTAGGTGAAGGCTCTCTCGCTCTCTCGAACTCTCTGTGACAGCAGGCTGGTCAGGGCAGGGAAGTACACACCTGGAATAAGCAGAGGACGTGGTCAGCAGGGCCTCTGGTGAGGGCCAGTGAGCCAGGCCAGAAGATGTGCATTGTCCCCCCTGACTTGTCCCAACCAAGGAGCCAACAGGCTGAGGAAAGGACTCAGTGTGGGAGAGGCTATCTGCAGGACAAGCCTCTGCTTCCAAGGCATGGTCCCAGGACAGCAGCCCAGGCTGACACACACACCCTCCACCTCAGACCAGCTGCTCACACCCGCCCTCAGCACGCGAAGTTTGGAAGCCACCTCATAACCCATACCCCTGCTTCTAGAGGGTCCTAGGCCTGGCCTGGAGGCGCAGAGTCTGCACTCTGCGTCATCATGGTCCATGAGGGTGGCACCCAGGAGTCGTCACCTGGGTCCCTCCCAACTTTTCTTTTTCTTTTTTTTTTTTATAAATATTTATTTATTTTTTTTTAGTTCTCGGCGGACACAACATCTTTGTTGGTATGTGGTGCTGAGGATCGAACCCGGGCCGCACGCATGCCAGGCGAGGGCGCTGCCACTTGAGCCACATCCCCAGCCCCCCTCCCAACTTTTCAACATAGCACCAAATGCAATTGCTCAGGAGCCAGGTCCCATTCCTCTGTCAGGCACTGGCCCAGGGCGGGGCCTCTCCGGAGCTTGAGGCCCGGAGGCCGGGAGCCTCAGGGTCAGGAGCTGCTAGCCTTTCCCCTCCGCCATGGACAATACACACAGACAATGTGAGGCCGCCAAAAGGACTTTCAGCAGAGGACAGAAGGCAGGCACCCATGGGCACTCCTGGCGACAGAGGTGAAGGCCAGCAGCAGGAGGGAAGTGTCCAGAGGCACCCCTACCTTGGAGCAGGCCTATGAGGACACGGGAGAAGACCATGGAGACCAGGTGGGCACTGCCAAGGTGGGCGAGCAGCGGGGTGGCCATGGTGATGGAGCCCCAGGTGGAAGCAGACAGCAGGATGACCTTCTCACCTCCGATGCTGGAGTGGACACAAAGAGGGGAGGACGGGGTGGCCATGCAGGCAGGCTGAGCACACCACCTCTGTGCAGAGGAGTCCTCTGGAGTGGGCACTGCCATGAGCATGCTGCCATGAACCCGCCAGCAGGAGGCACCCAGAGCTGAGAGCAGCCCTACAGCCACCCCCAGCCCCAGAGCTGCTCCTTGGAATGCTGGACAGGGCCTCTGCCCTCTTTGCCAGGCCCTAGCCCAGGAGCCCTTCCTCCCCATGTACACAGAAGATCTGCTAGCCCACCTCCCCTTGAGAAGCCCACATGGAGCAGCCCCCTTCAGCCTGAGTGACGAGGAGTAGGGAAGACAGTTACCGGTCCCCGAGGTGGCCACCCACGACCTGCGTCAGGCAGTAGCCCCAGAAGAAACTGCTAAGCACAATGCCGGCCTCCTTCTTATTCCAGCCAAAGTCCTGGCTCATGGCAACGGTGCAGACAGGCATGGTGACGCGGGCGCAGTAGAGTAGGCAGGTGCCCAAGAGCAGTGTCCCCGTCCACACCTGGCATTCAGGCCTGCAGGGCAGGAGCAGAGGGTCTGGCTCTGGAGAGGTCCCACAGGCAGCTTTGAGCTCAGAGACCCCCTGAGTTTGGGGGGCGTGGCCACAAGCAGGGGAAGCACTGGGGCTGGTACATCTCTGGAGGCAGTGGGCAAGTACGGAGCTGTCCTCACACACCTTCCCTCACTCCCTGCAGAGGCCAGTTCCGGGCATGATGGCAGAGTGGGAATGCCCAATGCCCTGCAGTAGGAGCAGGCCAGATAAATACTGGGCCAGTGCTGCTGACCACCAGGACTGCAGCTGGACCCACACAGAGGAAGGGATGCACACAGTACCCAGGTCTCCTTGGGACCACAGGGTCCCAGGAAGGCAGCCAGGCCAGGCAGACCTGACAACTAACCACCTGCTGCGGGCCACTCTGCTGGGCACGGGGACCCAGAGGTGTGATAGGAGGATCCCAGCCAGCAGCAAGGAGCCCCCAGTGGTTTCCCAAGGAAGCTTCCAGGCCTGCCCAGCAGAGGACATTGGAGCAAGCAAGGCTGGGGGCCCAGGAGAGGACACAGTGCCACAGGGTTTGGCAGGAGCAGGAACCGGAGGGGGTGAGGAGGCAGATGAGCTCAGTCCTGTGCAGAGCCCACCCAGTTCCCGGCTCCCGGCTCCCAGGCAGGCTTGGCCACTGTGTGCCATGAAGCAACTGAAGACTGCAAGAAGTGACAATCATTCAACCATGTATGTAGCAGGAGGTGACCAGCTGTACCCTCTGTGCACCAGGTTCTGATAATGAACGGGCAGGTGGCAGGGGCAGCAGGAAGGGAAGGAGGGGCCTAGGCAGGAGGCTACACTACAGGGCCGCAGCCAGCCTGCAGACAGACCAGGTGGGTAGGATGGCAGCCCTCACGGACCCGGGGCACCGGGCTTCAAGGAGGAGGAGCTGGGGAAGAAGACAGGGACAGCTGCTCCCCTTCTGGGAAGACTTTCCTCCTATGACTAGCACCTGAGCCCTCAGTGGTAGTCCCCCCCCCTGTCCCCCCCACCCCCTGCTGCCAACTCTAGGCCAGGGGCCCTCAGAGCCACAGGCCTCTAGAACACCAGCCCTGCCTACAGCCTGCAGCCAGCACGACCTGCAGTCCCTGTCCTCGCTCTCTAGGTCCCAGCTCTGCAGGTGACGAAGTAAAAACTGTTCAGGAGCCAGTAAGCAGCTACCCTTGCCCAGTGCTTGGGGGATCTGCGGGCCAGACTCCAGAAACATCCTCCCTGGAGGTTCCGCTGCTCAGGGGCCAGGAGGCCGTGTCTCTGCCCACCTCCTGTCCAGGCTTCCCTTCCTTCTGTCCACCTTTCCTCCCTCCACACCGCCAAAAGCCACTCGGGGCCAGCCCCACACACCTGAGAGTGAAGGCAGACCCAGCTCCTGGTTGCTGAAGTGACCAGTAGAAACCAAAAAACCAACCAAACAAACAGAAACCCCGGCTGGGGTCGATCTGACCGGGAGGGAGTCCAGGATGGCGATGGGGGTCTAGATCCAGACCCACCAGAGTTCAAGAGGAGGAAGGTCCAATGGGCAGTGCAGAGTCGGGGAGGGGCCTCCTGAGTATCTGTCTCCACCTGACATTTTGCAGGGTGACCCCACCATTCTGACACATCCTGTGGGGTGAGCAGACAAATGGGCTCTGCTGGGAAGAGAGCGAGTGCACAGACTGAGAGTCAGGAGTGTCCGCCGGCCTGGCGTGGCCTGGATGTGGGGACTGCGAGGGGCCCCCACTTTTCACTGGGCTGTGAAACAGATGCAGTAGCTAGCGCTGGGCCTCCTTGAGTCAGATGCCAGGCAGGGGCTCAGGAAGGGTCAGGCTGGATTGTGGCAATGACCATCACAGTGGGGTGAGCACGAAGAGCCTCGGGGACATTGGTGGAGTCTCCAGGGCAGAAGGGAGGCGGGTTGTGTGTCCAGTCCTGGGGCCAGGCAGCCCGCCCAGAGGAAAGCTGGAGGACATTCTTGGATGCCCAGGGTCACATCTCAGGGGCTGCAGGCCTAGTGTTGTGACCTGCTTGGGGTGAGCCTGAGGGGTATGAAGGGAGTGGTGAGGCGGGGCTCAGATGACCGGCGGGGACGAGTGGGGGGGCAAGCAATGTTGGACAGGTTAACATCCACCCTGGTGAGTCCTGCTGACAGCAGGAACCCTGACAGTGAAACCAGGGACCCAAATAAACCCCACTCAACCTGCTTTGCCCACTGTCCCTTGCTTTGGTTGACATCAGCAGTCTTAGAGGTGGAGAGAACCCCTCTGACAGACAGCAGGTCAGGAGGGTCAGCAGCTGATGGGCTGGATCACCTTGCACACCGACCCTCCCATCACCTTTCCCCAAGCCTCAGCCCACAGACAGCCCCAAACCCTCCCCTCGGGTAGGTGAGCTTGAGACTTGCTGTCCCTCTCCTGGCCTGGTGAGTAAATTCTGCCACCGGTTCAGTGACGGGTTTCCTGCCCTGGGGGAAACTGGTCCTGGTTCAGTAGCAACAGGCCTCGACAAGAAGCCCATCATCTCTTCCTGAGGCCCCACACCCTCAGCCAGCAGTGAGACATTCACCCCAAACACCAGCAGCAACAGTCCAAGAGCACCGCAGTCCTCCTAGAGACAGTCACGATGTCGGAAGGAGCAGCCACAGCCAAGAGCAGCCTCGGAGACGTGAGGACTGAAAGGCAGGAGGACTGAATGGCAGTTCCCTAGGTGGGGACACTAAGGAGAAGCTGAGGAAGCCAGAGGAGCGTGGAGTGGGCTGGTGGTGACGCTTCTGTGTGAACGTCTCCTTCGAGAAGAGGAGGGACTGGAGGTATTGGAAGGGGACAGTGGTGGCAGGGAGCTGAGAACTCTGTGCACCATCTTAAGAATGATCCTGACACACACACTCGGCTTTCTCATAAAAGAATTTGAGTACGGTTCGTGCAGTGGGACCTGTGATAAGCAGGGGCACTTGGAGAGGCGAACGGGGAGTCCTTGGGGCCACCTAGGAAGCAGAAGGAAGCACTTCCTCTAAGAGTGGGGCATGTAGGAGGTTGGACAGGACTCAGAGCAGCTGCTGCAGGATGGGGGGCAGTGGGGACCCAGCTGGAGTTCCAGCATAAGTGCCGGAAGCCTGGATGGAGACCAGAGCCCCTCAGGGCCAGCAGAGGGAGGGGAAGGATGAAGGATGCTGGATGGAAGCCCATGGGGTTTGTATCATCAAATGATAGCACAGTCACCAAGGAAATGCTAGGACTCAAAGTCAGTGCCCCAGGCTATCCATTGGGAAAGGGCAGCACAGGCCTCTGAGAAGAGCTGTCAACAGAATAGAGATGAGCAGATGACCAGATGGTTCAGATGGCGAATGAGGTGGGGAGCTGGAGAGTCATGCTCCATCCGCCCGAGAGGCAGGTGTCCGAGCCCTGGGGGACCGGCAGCAGCCCTTGGATGAGATGTCGAGCGTCTACTGGAGGAGATTGCAGAGGACCTGTGGGCAGCATCCCCACCTTTCCAGCCTCCCCAGGGGCCATCTACAGGGCCGCTATGGGAAAGACAGTGCAGGCTGAGGCCACCCCTTCCTAGAAGAGCAGGAGGCTTCACCACGCTCCCCCCAAGGTGACAAGCGGCCCCTGGGGCCCCAGGTCTGATGATACTCGACATGGCGCCTGCTGGGATCAGGGCCTCTGAGTCCCTCAGGCAGAAATATGGCCCCTCCAACTGGTTTGAGAAGATCAGAATCCTTTGACACGGACCCTGGACCTTGGGAGAGGATGGCAAGCAGGGAGGGTCCCTGCACCTTCAGTGGGTGTCCACTTAGGGGCCAAACCTAGCTGTCCCATGAAGGCAGTGGACCCAGAGCTCATTGCCCCTCCCAGGGGTTTGTATCATCAAATGATAGTCTCCTTTATAGAATCAGAGGACAAGGCAGGTGCTAGGTGGGTTGATTAGGTGGGAAGAGGGTCTCTGGCCAGCAAGGACCCAGGTGAGTTCCGTCGGTCTGAGCTTGGTCTGCTAGGAAAATTGCAAACCCATTAGTCCAAGCAAGGCTCTGTCCCTCCCACTCTGGGCTGTGTGGACGAGTGGTTGTCACTCACCAGGAATTGGGTTTCTGAGCCTCCCCTTCCAGTCTGGATTTGTACCATGGGACCCCTGGGAGGGGCTGAGGTGCCCAGCTCGGGCTCCTAAGACTCCTCGAGGACAAAGCCTTGCCCTGACAGGGCTCCTAGTGGTCCACCCCAGTCCCCTGGCCTCCATCCCTTCTGGGGACATTGTCCTGAGTAAACATTACTACTGGGTACTAGAACACAGGGGGACACAGTCCAAGCTGCTGCTGGCCAGTCTGCCCTGGCCTTCAGAGCCATCCCAGGTGAGCTATGTGCACACATTCAAGTGGGGTTTATTTCTAACTGAGTGGATGCAGGAGGCAGCCACAGGGGTGTGGGAGCAGCACTCATGATTTACCACCACAAGCCAGAGTCCAAAGGTGGCTTTAAAAAGGAGCTGTATCCTCTACGAGGTCACAGCAACCAAGGCACCACCTGCATTGGAAGGGCCCACCCAGCACAACACTTATCCCTCCCTGGGTGCAACTGCAGCAGTCTGGCCCTGATGCTCTCTGGGGAAGAGCACTTAGAAACAGCGGGGACCAGCTGGGACCTACCCCCTCCAGAAGGCCAGTACCATACCGAGAACTCAGTGCTGGGCCGCAAGAGGTCCAACAAAACCCGTCAGCTTCCAGTGTATATCCAGCTGGAGGCACCAGAGGGAGGGCCCATAGGCAGGCCAGCGGGCACTGTGGGGTCTGCTTCCTCTCCGGAACCCGCCTGTTCATTCCTGAGCTCGAAGTGTGGGCCAGGCTGATGAAGGGACTCCCAGAGTGCTGGGGACACAAGGATTTGACCAGAGGTAGTAACCCCAAGGCCAGCAGTGACTTGAGGGCCATTCAGGACCCTGCGCTCAGAATCGGCCATCCTGCCTGGGGGCTAGTTAGGAACAGGAGCTTGGGGCAGAACTTGCCTGAAAAGGTCCAACTACCCGGACCACTTGGGGCCTGTGCCTCTGTGGAGACTCCCAGAGTGGCAGGTGCTTCCTGTGAGTCTCTAAAGCCCTGCTTCCGCAGACGGCCTATACAGAGGCATATGTGGCTGAGCACATGGGTGGGAGAGTGGCCCTTGACGTGTGGATACCAGGGGCCAAGGGCCCGCAAGCACCCCAGCACCACCCCTCCTGGCCCCGTGATCTGCTGAAGAGGCCTGACTCCCCAGCCAGGCAGAGGGCTCTTGGAGGGGACACGTGCACCCAGGGAGCATCTACTGCCATAATTAAAACCCACGCATGGGTTGTGGATGGCCCTGACCCAGAAGTCCCTCCACTCCAAATTCTCTGCGACCATCTAGTCAAGAAAGGCCTAAGGAGCAAGTAACATGGTAGGCACGGAGGGAAGCAGTCAATGCAAATGCCAGGCAGGGCCACCGAGTCACACCCTGCAGTGACATTTGCAGCACATTCTGCAGGCTCTGGTCACACCTCAGGAGCCAAGTGCACTGGGCAGAGACGCCTGGTACACAGGGTGGAGAGGAAGGCCATGACGGGGGGGGGGGGGGGGGGGGGGGGGGGGGGGGGGGGGGGGGGGGGGGGCAGGCCGCAGCCCTAATGCTGGCACACCCAAGTACAGCCCTTCCCTTCTAGTTGGTGCTTGCAGGTCTGTGACTTGGCTTTGACCAGCGGGGGTCTCCACATCCCGGCTAGCTATGTTCTCACAAAGCCCCAGTCTGGGGGCTTCTTTTGACCCTCACTGTGTCCAGTGTGGCACTAGTCCTCAGGCTTCATGGCAGCACAGTGGACAAGCCTGCCTGGGGGCTAGAAGCTAGGAACTGGGTGGGCTCTGCACAGGACTGAGCTCATCTGCCTCCTCATCTCCTCCGGCCAAACCCTGTGGCGCTGTGTCCTCTCCTGGGCCCCCAGCCTTGCCTCCCAGAAATTCCAAGGACACTGGAGGTGCTGGGTGGCAGGTCAGCTCTTGAATACACCAGGCCTGATGCTGAGCCCCAGGTCCGGTGCCTTGACAAGGGGCCTCAGCCCACAGAACCAGAGCAGGGGGGGTTCCTCTTGGGGTTCCCACTTAGACTCTCTTGCCAGCTGGCTCAAGGCCAGCTGCCACCATCTCCCTCCTGGTTTCTGTGGGTGCTATATGCCCAGGGACAGTGGAAACAGGATGAACAGTGCTCCTTCTGCAGTACAGAGGCCAGTGGGTGCTTGCCCCAGCCTGGCACCCAGTTAGCACAGGCATTCTAGGGATTAGCCTCAGCTGGGGTCCTCCACAGGAGGCAGTCCCAACCCATCCAGTCCTGAGGACACTGCCCGTCTGGAACACCCCCAGGATAACCAGCTGGGAGGGTTCAGGGGCCACTTGGCATGTTCTGGGACTGGAGGGAAGGGGCAGCCCCTGATGGGTGGATGCTTGTGTCCTCTGTCCTAGGGGCTAGAGCTGGGGGAATGAAATGGGGCAGGAGAGGGCTGGTGGACAGTCTCCCTACTCCAGCACTCCCCACTCCTGAGTGGACGTCCTGTGGCAGTATCTCCGCTCCCTCCCCAAGTGTTGGGCAACCCCCTCCCCCGCAGCTGCCCCTGCCCCACCTGGACCACTGGGCGTTTTCAGCTGCATCTCTGCGGGTCTCGTCTGGGGGTGGCTGCATCAGGCTGGGCGCTAGGACAACATGGGCACAGCAGTGTCCCAGTGCCCTGCCCTCCACCTCCCTCCCAGGCAGCGCCGCCCAAGTCCACGTGTCAGTCCCAGCCGCGCTGCACTTCCGTCTGGCCCTCCCAGGAGGTGTTTGTCAGTAGCCCTGGGGCTTGGGTCCCCGCCCCACCAACGAAGACCTGGGAGGTTGGCTGGGACCTCCCTAAGGTCCCACAGGAAGGGCTGGGCCACCATGCAGCCCCCAGGATTGGCACTGGGACTTCCGGGCTGTGGAGGAGACCAATCCTGGGGGGGATCCTGGCCCCGGATGTGCCAGCCCTGCAGCGACCCTGGGCAGGCTCTGGAGCAGTGGGGGCCCCTGTTCCTGTCTACAAACTGGGGATGAAGTAAGTTCCCACAGGGATGTGTACTGATTCAATCAAGCTTGGGGAAAAATCCTTAGCCAAGTGGGAAGACAGCAAAGCTGCGCTGGGTAACCAGTTTTTAAAATGAATTTATTGGGGCAGGCTCCAGCTGTGGAACTCCCCCAAGCTAGGCTGGTAAGAGCTGGGTGATTCAGGTGTCCACAGAGTGCTGAAGGAGGAAGGTGGTCACGCACCTCTGAGCCCATGGCACAGCTAGTATCGAGCACCAGTGTGGGTCAGGCTTTGGGCTGGTGCCAGAGGCTAGGCATGGGTCGAGGCTTACTCAAGCCTGCTGCTGAGGTGCCGGCACTACACTGACAATTCAGCACAAGGCACACCCGGCCGAAAAAGGTGGCGGACATCCAGGGGTCTCTCTAAACACCAGCTCCGCGCTGAAACCTCCAAAAGGCTCACTCACAGGCAAAGAGCGGGATTTCCCTGCAGCCTTGAGATACCTGCACTTTCAACAGCCCAGCCCCTGCAGGGCCCCCAGCGTCCGCCTCCTGGTGTGCACTGCCCAGCTCCATACACACTAGCAGTAGAGGTCTAAACAATATGGGATCTGGGGCTGGGGGTGTAGCTCAGTAGATTACATGTTTAGCATGTGTGAGGCCCACAGTTCAATCTCCAGAATTAAAGGAAAAAAACAAAACAACAACAACAAAAACCCAGGACCTAAAAGCAAGGCTACTCCTCTATATCAGTGCTCAGCAGGATAGAAATGTTGGCAGAGGATTCCCTCAGTATCCCTAGTCCACTGCACGGGGTTTGAGGATTTTTCCTACACTATGGTATCAACACTCTGTTCTCTTCCTACTGACTTTCATCCATTGCATGAAGTTCTTTGATGATAATTTTAAGTCCCGGAATCACAATGTACTGGATATTTATCATTTCTTCTTAGAGCTGATGCTCTGGGGTGAGCGGACAAAAGGAAAGAAGGGATGTTACTTCAAATAGGTTGGGTGAGGAGACACCTGCGCAGTGAGTGAGCCACGGTGGTGGGCACACAGCTCAGGACCAAGGCCAGGACACGGGGTGGCTGCCCACAGGGCTGGGGCTGAGGCAGGGGAAAGAGGCCAGAAAGAAGTCAGGAAGTCCCCAGAGGTTCAGAGACCACCCTGGCTGCATGTGTACAGGTCATGGCAGCGTGGTGACAGGGAGAACAAGGCTGCTGCCTCATCCAGGCCCTAGGGCCCTGTCCCATTAAGGCAGAGGCATGGTGCAGGTGGAGGGCCACACCTCAGGTGTTGGTGGTGGCCAGGGCGGACACACTCTAGCTTCCTGCTAATTCTTTGAGTTTCTCACACCTAAATAACAAATGGTGTTTCCACGTGGGAAATTCCTTACAGAGAAGATGAGAATGGGGAACACCTGGGTCTTGTGTCACGAAGCATGGCTTCCTGCTCTCAGGTGGCCAGCCGACCTTACCTGTTGTGCACTCCAGGTGCTGCTGCAGGAAGACAGCTGGGCATCTCCTCTCACTAATACCCACCTCTGCGCTGGCGCTGCCATCCTGCTCCTCAGCAGCCACTACACGGGAGGGAGGCAGGTGTGGATCCAGATGGCAAAGGCAAACCCATGCCGCCTGGGTCTCCTCCCTGTACCCACTTAACTCCACCCCTCCAGCCCAACTTTCGAGCACAGCCCTAAAGATGAGACATCCAAATCAGTGGACTGAAACGTGACACTGTTTCCTGTTACTGACAGGCAATGTAATGAAGGAGATCTTGATGCTGGACACATTAGCATGGATGACTGTAGAGGGAGCGTCTACCTTCTGGACTGCATACTGTGTTCAGCAGAGAAGAAAATGGGACAAGGGCCCACCTGACTCCTCAGGGAGCCAGAGGAAGGCTCTCTGAGATGCCAACAGCTCTGCGCGGCTGGGACTGTACGTGGAGACCCTGAAGCTCTGGCCACTCAAGCTTTTCAAGGTGCTGTGACTTTAGTTTAAATCTTAAAAATACTGGTGGGCAAGATCTCTGAGTGGGCAGAGGGCAGAGACCATGGTGTCCTGAGTCTGTAGCCAAACAGGGACCCTGGGCCTGAGCAGCTGAAGTCCTGCAGGTTATGGCTGATTGCCGCCACTCCAGGTCACAACTCTTGATGGGTCAGCTTATTTCACTTCCAAAAGCCAGCAGGGAAACTGTCAGACTCCTGGCCCATAGGAAGGAGAAAATCGTGTGTGAGCAAAGCTGTCAGTGTGTCTGCAGGAAGGGAGAAGACAGAGCTGGCTGGAGGCCACATATGCCGGCATAGGAAGCAACTGCACTCTAGTGGTCATCCTCCCAAGATCCATATGCCAGCCAGGAGGCTCCCACCCAGCACACACAGCAGCTGGGCAGGCTCACACTGGACCTGCATCTAAAACACACTCCTTCAAAGACACCGTGCACAGTGCCCACTCATCTCCAGCAGTCACATCTCAGTACCTTTTGGGTGCAAACAGGCCTGTGGCTCCTCCAGATAGTTTTTCTTTGTATTGAGGTCACACTGGAACCTTAAACCTGGTCTTCCAACTAGGAGTCAGGGAGAAGCTACAGATGAACTGGATCACCATGTTCCTGCCGAGTATCCACAGGCACCCTGAGATGGGGCACCTCTTCCCCACACAGGTGGAGTCATCACCCATGAACCACATCTACCCGTGAGCCAGTTGTATCAAGTGCCTCACGCCCATGGGTCTGTGACCCAGACCTTACTGCCTAGAGCCATTCTGTGTCAGGACAGTCTACCCAATGGAGCACAGGCACCAGAAGTCCAACACAATGAGCTATACCAAGGGCCATGCAAATGCCGTATTTTACTTTTACATGAGTAAAAAGTTGCAAGCAATGATGGTACCCTGACACAGGCAGAGCATCCCAGACAAGCGGGTCACAGCTTGTCCAGGAGCCTCTTGGACTGCCATGCTGGCACACACATCCCAGCACTCCAGTGGCACCTACCGTCATGAATCACTGCACTGCCTTCTGCAAGCACGAGGCAAACCCGAGCTACCATCAGGATCACACACCAGGTCCTGTCGTGTCAACAGGAACAGTGATGGGGAGGAAGGTCTTCCTTTCCTATGCTGAAACACCCAACACGCACTAAGTGCATGACGTCACATCCCAGGTGCCACTGCTGACCCCATGTCGTCTTCCTCATACAGCCCTCCACAGCCTGAGCCCTTACCATGATGGCTGAGAGCACAGGAAGCAGACCCGCAACAGCTGCAGCTCCCGGCAGAGTGGTGGGCTTTTATGTTGGATATGCTTGGAGATTTTCTTTTTCTTGTTTTTTTTTTAAATTTTTTTTTCTTTTTTAGGTATAGATGGACACAACACAATGCCTTTATTTTCATGTGGTGATGAGGATCGAACCTGGGTCCCGCCAGTGCTAGGCAAGCGCTCTATGAGATTTTCTTGTACAAAGATAAGTACTACTGGAGTGGGGCAAGATTAAAACCAAAGTGTATTAACAGGAATCCAGTTTCTTTCTACTCTTCCAGTTCTGACATACTGACTTCCACCGGGCTTGGCAGGGCTCAAATGCCTCCCTGGAACAAGAAATGACAGAACCCAATGTGCACACAACACAGTGCTCTGGTGGACGAGGGCGTTTTGCAGGATTTTACATGGCTGCTGCAGACAGAATGACTGACTGTCCATCTGATACAGCAATACCTATTTCTGACACCAAAACATATCCCATTGCAAGAATCCATGTGGTGGCATCAGAATAAATCATCAACAGAGCAGTGACGAGTGAAGGCTAGGGACAGACTCACCCATGCCACGGTGTCCCACAAAACCACTCGACACCTTCCACCAGCAGAGGTGCAGACAGACCCCTCTGCTCGCCTGAGGCTTTTAATTTGGTCTTTTGTTCATACTGAGACTGGAAAGCAACAACCTGGAAGGGAGTCCTGCTCCATTATCCTGAAGGCGTCAGTATCTGTATCATGAAACATGTTAAGAGTCTTCCTGGATTCCGAGTTCTTCCATTCTCCAAACCAAAAGTGCATAGAAAGAAGGAAATAAAGTGTGCTACCCCAACCTCGACCCCACCCTGGGGGTAGACTCTGGTTTTCGGTCTTCAGCCACGTCTCAGGCAAGGCCATGGTCAACACCTGCCTTTTCCAGAACTTGAAAACTTAATTCAAGTGGCAAACACACAAGTACTCTATTAATTGGCAATAACCCCAATGACTGAGAAAGTTCCAGAACAGAGTTATTCTTCCCACGACTTCATGATATGGGAACAGAACACCAGAATATTCTCAAAGTTTCCTTTATTTCAAGGCACTTCCCATTAGAAGGCATAAAAAGAAGAAATAACTACTTTGTGAAACAGTTGAATTATTTTTTTTCCTTCCAGCACAGGGAATCCAACACAAGAGCTTATGCATGCTGGGCAAGCACCCTGCCACAGAGCTACACCCCAGCACTTTTTCTATTAACTTTCATTTCAAGACAGGATCTCACCAAGCCACTCATCCTCCTCCCCCAGCCTCCCATGTTCCTGGGATTATGGGCACGTGCCACAGCGCCAGCTATAACACTACATCTTAATGAACACATCAGTGGGCTCCAGAATGAAACAAAGTAGAAAAGCCAAAGTATACT